ATCAATTCTGCCAAAATTTCTATAAAGAACCTAAGTAGGATGTAACAGAAGCATTCTCATCTTACAGACAGGAAGAAAAGCTTGTGTAATACAAGAAACTTCATAGTTGGAGTAAAATTACTTGTAATGCAGAGAGCTCCATAGAAAAAAAACTGGATTGCTGAGCTTCCATATCAGATTATTTAAGTGGGATGAGAAATAGTGACGTGAACAGATGAGGAACCAAGTAGAAGATGTCTTTTGGCTTTATTCAGATTTGACCTACCTACCAAACAAAACAGATGAGATCAGCTGCACCCCAAGAGTCTAGTTAAAGAAAAAAAAAATGTTAGCAAGATTGTAAAAATATTATCTTCACCCAACTACACAAAACTGACAGCAGGTCACTAAGAAAATACCCGATATTATCCTGCTGTCAACCCAGTTACCCACCATGGTTATCTAGTCGATTAGGAAGCACACTGTTCCTGCGGTATGCTTCGGAGCAGGCAGAGACTCACTCCACACCCAGGTTAGGAGGTGCTGTCCACAAAAATACTGACATCTCAACCCTTCCTCCCTTCCCGCTTTGCTTCCTTTCTCCCTCTTCTCTTCTTCCACTCCATCCTCCCTCTCCTCTGCCTTTTTCTCTTCTGTCCCTCCTGGTCTAAATCTCTCTCTTGTCACCTCTATGGCTACAGGAACCCCAAAGTTACTGACACAGTTATCGTTAAAATCTGTAGGGATCTGTCTATCATTAACTTGTATGTTTATTCTTACTATACAAAGTACGTTTTCACTTTTGTAGTTTCAAAAGGCTTTGGGGCCTTGGGGTATAATTGTGACAGAGCTCTTGGCTCGAATGCTCTGGGCCCTGTTTTTGATACTCTGTACCACAATTCGTATATACATGAAATTGACCACAATCAGGAAAACAGTTTTAAAACTGAGTAAATGTACAAGCGAGCCAGTGTATTGACATAAAATAAAATTCCCCAAAAGACAACTTCAGTGCCAATATTCAGCTGAATAATTTTGAGTTATTTAATGTGTAAACATGTTTTTAAATTTCAAACCTTCTAGTTTTTTTTTTTAAGGATAATCTTCTCAAACACATTTACCCCCATCTCCTCAGTAATAAGTGACCTATTGTGAGCCATGAAGCAAAAGAAAAGTTAACAGTCAGTTTTGATTAAAGATAGCTTCAGAAGTTGCCGCATGTTCCAAGCCCTATGACAGAATACTCACAACATGTACCAAATAAACTCTAAAACACATTTCACTAGTACTGCCTGCCATTAAATCATCTTGACTCCAAACCAGTCCCAGCTCCAAGACAATAATGCGTGAGTTCTTTGTTATCTTAGCAGTAAATCTAACTGTCTTCTCGTGGGAAAAAGTTTATGCTGTGACTCTCTCTTCATAAGCCACTGGTCTAAAGAGGAGGTTCTGCATAAGACTCAGGTCCCTCATATTCTATTGCATAAAATTCCCTCTGAGATCGAAACATTCCTCATTCCAAGGAAGCTCCTTAAGCCGGAAGGTAAACAACTCGAAATAGCTCTGGGAAGGCCCTGAAACTGATCAGATTCCCTAGGCCCCTTCTTCCCAAGAGTAAATGACCCAAACTGCTGCTGACAGCCACTCTCATACAAGCTCTGCAAGGATGACTCTGAGACCAGACCAGCTGCCTGGAAGGAATTTCAATCACTTGGAAAGAACACTCTCCAACCTGCCTGAAGGCTGTGCAGGGCACTCCAGAGTCCCAGCTTTTGTGCTCACTTGTGCTGGGGTGAAGCTTAGGTGATGATGCAGTTGTCTTTGAGTTCCTTCTGCTCCTGTTAGTAATCCCTTACCACACTCCAGTAAACAGCCCCGATAAAACAGATTGGCTTATCAAGTTGGATCTTGGTGGTATACATACTTTGGTTGATTGAGGCTTCCCTATCTGGGATGAATAGATGTGTGTATTGTGTCTCCCCAGGAAAAGTCGTCACACAGCAATAGACATATATATTATTTATTGCATTTAGTGTTGTGTGACGCAACATGACAGACATACATTATAAACTGTATCATATTAGCAAAAGTTATAGCCAATTGCCATATCTTCTTCTAATGGTTCAACTATGTTGTTATGAGGCTGCATCGATCCTCATCAGTATTTGCAGGTCAGAGAGTGTGTGGTGAGTGGAATGGGTAGGTACAAACCACAGCCACCTGAGTTCTAAACTCAACCCTTCTGAATCCTGTTATCTCTGTTCACCCCTTTCCTCATCCACTGTTGCAATGATTTAAAATCCTCTGCCATGCAAATCATGAATCAGCAGACATAGAATAGAGGTGAAAGCAGAAACCAAAAAAAGGTAGGAGTGTTCAGTGGGAAGACAACCTGACCCAATGTGCCCAATTCCTAATAGGACAAGTGAGAAAACAAAATCCAATTTTGTGAATGTCGGGTTGCTCATTCACTTAAACATTTGCGACAGCAAATTTGCTAGAATACCAAGTTACAGCTTAGAATACCAAGTTACAGCTCCTGACAGTTCTGGATCTAAATGTCTTTAGTGTGTTCTAAATTTCAAAACCACAAAACATATCTGAGGGCCTTAATGATAATTTTAAAATACATAATTTATGAATTTCCTACTTTCAAAATCCAAAGAATTAATGAAAGGTAAAAACAAACTTCAAAGAGTTTCTTCAAAATCTAGGCAACTGGATACTAAAAGCCACCTTCTCTGTTACTGTGTATTAGAGTGTGGTGGTTTAAAAGAAAATGGCCTCCAAAGGGAGTGGCACTATTAGGAAGTGTGGTTTTGTTGGAGTGGTTGTGGCCTTGTTGGAAAAAAAAAATGTGGCACTGTGGAGGCGGGCTTTGAGGTCTCAGGCATACGCAGTGTCTGAGTTCACTTCCTGTTGCCTGCAAGATGTAAAATTCACCGCTTCTTGTCCAGTACCATGTCTGCCTTCACACTGCTGTATCCTACCATGATGATGATGGACTAAAGCCTCTGAAACTGAAAGCTGCCACCTCGATTAAATATTTTCCTTTATAACAGTAGCCATGGTTAGAAACCCTAAGACACAGAACAAGGGTGGCACTGACTTCTGCTGGAATAATCTCAAATTATTAATGACCTATCAACAACATAGTTACATTCTGGACTCTTAACCTTTCCTCCATGGAGGCGTTGCTTGTTCACTTGAGCAGGCCGAGCCATGGGTTAGTTGTGCCAGGACCTTCAGAGATCCTCCCATCTGATAAGGGCTCCAGTGCACCCTCAAAATGAATGAAGACGTTATTCCTACTGAGCATAAGAAGGTCTGAAAACAATACACGCAATCCCTTACGTGTGGAAAACATGCATTGTGTTTCCTTGTCATACTGTAAAATTTGAAAAGACTAATGTGATTATGCATCTCTGACCAAGACAGTTGAATTACCAAACAGAAGAAGTGCCAATCAGAAGAGATTTTTCTAGGACCTTGCCCAACAGTTCAAAAGGAATAAATTACTTCTCAAAGATGGAATAGTTCAGTCAAGCACAAAGAAGTTGCCTTCCTCAGATTTAAAAGGCAAATGTACAAGCTTACTGTATTATACACAACATACTGTTTTCATTATTGTGAAAAATATGACGAACTCAAAAGCAGAAAATACAGATGTGAGTGACTGATGTTCCTCCCTTGCCTCTGCTCTGTCAAGTCAATTTTTGTGGTTGACATCATGTTGGCATCTCCCATTACTTTGCTTCTTCCTGGTACTGTACATTTCATAGCTATGCAACTGAGAGGATAAGTTACTCTGCAGCTTTTGCCCCTATGGCAGTCCCTTCCCCAAGAGCCACCAACATAAACTTGCAAATAACCAATATGAGAAAGCTCTCCGGCTTTAAAAGCCATGCGGTGATTTTCAGCTGTTTGTGGGTAAACATCTGAAATCCATTTTCTTGGCTTACACTGTTCTTAGTGTTCTAGCCCTTGTTTTATTCTCCAGCTTCCTCTTCTGCCATTCCCCCATCCCCAAATGATAATCTCAATGTTCCCTCACTGTCTCCAGCACTGTGATCTGAGACTCCTGTTTGTACCACCCCTTTTCTGTCTTTCCTAACATCTGTTCTACTCATCTTCCCAGTCTGAGAGCAAATAACACTTCAGTAGGAGACCTGCCTCTCCCACCTCACTAGATTGAGCTCTTCTACAAAAACTCTCCTGACAGTCTGTTAGGGTCCTGGAGGAGTCCCACAAAAGACCATCCACTCATGCAATCAGCAAGAGTAAGGTACCAACCAGCATGCTGGGGCCACACATCCAACACAGCACAAAGGCAAAATGGCGACCATGAGAGAGGCTGTTAAGTACAGCTGAAAGAATTCCTAGGGCAGTTAGGTCATTTTATCTACCATTGGCTTAAGCAAGTGGAAATTATGTTAGTACATTTCTAATTGGCTAGGGCCAGTAGAGGTTGACTAGGGCTGTAGCTTTTCCATTTTTGGACAGGCCTGGACAAGTCCCGAGCTTTGTCCTTATTTGCTTATTACCTTGAGATGATGTGTGGAGCCGGCTCAGGCCTAGCACATGCTGTCTCCCTCGCCCCTGACAGCAGGGGCATTAAATATTGATTGTCCTTTGTTTGTGGCTTCCTCAGAAACTGCCTGCTCAGTTTCAAGAAGCAGGAAGTGAGGCCTAATTCTTAACTGAGTAATTTGGAGCCTGTCATGATATTTGCCTGGCCTTCTACATATCCATGATATACTAAATCCATGTTGCTGTTGAGTCATTGTTTGCAATAGATAGTCAATATAAGAACAAAGGTTAAAAAGAAAATTATTCTGACTTTACTCACAGTTACTTATAGTAGGAGGTATATTTCTTTTCTTCTTGCTTCCTGTCAACAGATTACCAGCATACGAGCACCGATTCATAGGATTATGAAATGCCTTGTTACTTTCAAACCACAAGACTGGTTTAATTTAAATGAGACTACAACATTTTCCAATACATATTTTAATTATTAAACAGACTTCTATTTCCAGATTGGAGTGTGAGGGATTTTGTGCCTGGTACCACCAAATTTGAAACCCAACTCTCAAAAACAAAGAACGTGAGTATAATATATAAAGATGGGGCCTGTATTTGTTTTCTTAATAAGATAATTCATTAGTTCCTTGAGAATTCTATACAAAGTATTTTGATTATATTCATATCCCATTTCTCCCATGTGACTCCTCCCAGATCCACCCTCACCTCCCTCATCCCTAATTGTGTGATCTCTGTTTATTCATTCTTAATTAACTCATCAAGCCCATGTACATCTGGGTACTGGGCCATAAACTGGAAGATATTCAACTTGCCTTGGGCCATACTCTCAAAGAAAATTGAGTCTCCCTCTCCTAGGATCCATTATCTGTCCATAGCTTCTCCATTAGAGGTAGGGCTTGTGAGCTCCTTTCTGTTCCATGCTGGATGGAGTCTGGGCAGAAAAACTGGTACTGCTCTGGGCAACAAGTGCCATGAGTATAGTGCCCCTGTTACATCTAGAAGACAGTTTCTCTTTGCTGCCACCTGACAACCTCTGGCTCTTGAAGTATTTTTGTAGGGTAAAGCCTTTTAAAAGTTGGTTAACTTAAAATGAAAACATTAGGACAGCCCCTACTCCAGTCTGCCTGGTGTCCTTATATGAAGAAATTTGGCCACAAAAGAAAACATCAGTGAGACATATGCCCTGTAAGAGGCAGCTACCTTTAAGCCATGTAACTAGGCTTCAGGAGAAATCAAGCTTCTCAGCATTTTGACCTGGAACTCCAGAATTAGCCTTCAGAACTGTGAAACGTACATTTCTACTGCTCCTCCCTGAAATCTACAATACTTTCCTATAGAGAGTCTAGCAAACTAATGTAGCATGAAGCATTGGGAATATTTTACTTGCAATCTGGAGTAGAAATCTACCATTGTGATCTGAGCATTCATTCATTTAGTGTTTGTGACTAATTATTATCTCTAAAATCCAGAAAGAAATAGGACCATCAAAGGAGAAACCTGATGTCAATTATTCATTATCACTAAGTAAGTGCTAGGCATGACAGTGGGTGATTCAAGGAATGACAATTTGTTCTCCCTGTAATGGATCAGGAAACAGGCTGAAGGAAGCACTCTCGTAGCTAGCAAAGGGAAAGAGAGGCTACATAAAACAAACAAACAACATCAAGAACAACAAAATCCTGGATGTAAGGCAGTTGAGCCTGGCAGAAAAGCAACAGCTTTGGGGCCCTATGGCTTGTTTAAGGGCCAGGATTTGTGCCAAACTTCAGGGTGATCAGGAGTCAAGTCACTTGCCTTCTCTGAATCTCAATTTCTTCATCTATAAAATGAAAAAAAGGTAATGTTTACTACTTTATAAGTCTGGTAAATGGATTAAGTGTAGTATACTCCGAAAGTACAAGAATTTACTAGATATTGAAAAGAAGACAGCGGGTTGGTGGTGTGGGGTGTGGGGTTGGAGAGGCTAGGAGCACTGGTTGCTTTTCCAGAGGTCCTGAGTTCAATTCCCTGCAACTACATGGTGGCTCACGACCATCTGTAGTGAGATCTGGCGCCCTCTTTTGGTGTGTAGGCATAGATGCTGGCAGAACACTGTTTACATAATAGGTAAATAAATCTTAAGAAAAAAAAAAGAGAAGTAGACAGCTTGTATCTTAATCCATTTTCTATTGCTGTAATGAAATCAAGGAAACTGGGTCCATTACAAAAAGTGTCTTTAACTTATCTTCTGGAAGTTCAAGGTTGAGAAGGTACATCTCTATACAGGCCCTCTTGGTGGTTAGGACCCTGCAGAGTTGAGAGAACATAACTAAACACTCAGCAATAAAGAACAAGCAAGATCTCTTTTCATCTACTAGTAGAGACACTAATTGAGTGGTGAGAGCCCCACCCTCATGATCTGCTTGGATCTGAATGACCTCTTAAAAAGCTCCCACAGGGCTTTGGGAACTACCTTCCCAACACATGGATACTAAAATAAATAAAAATAAATAAATAAATAAATAAATAAATAAATAAATAAATAAATAAATAAATAAATAAATAAAATTAAAAAAAATGGATGCAGATGGAAGAGCCAAGATCCCAGAGTTATCCCACGTGGCCTTCATGTTTTTGCTGCTGCTGCTGCTCTGCCACTGTTTGTGTGTTTCAGTGACTAAATTGCCTGTCTCTGTACTTGTTTCCATCGAACAAACAAGAGGAAGCAAACACATGTAGACATGACTGAATGCACACATGACAATTTTATCAAGACAAAACAGTTAAATTTTTTTTCCAAAATAAAATATACTCTACTCAAGAATTAGCCAGACCCAAGTCAAAGCCTTCTCCTTCCATTTTCTAGATAAGTGGTGTTGGTGTTGGACCAAGTTCTCCAGACTCCCCAAACCTGTTTCTCTCATCTATAAAATAGCCACAATAATAACTACCTCACATTGTGGCTGTAAATAACAGATGCAATTATACATGTGTAGTACTTAAGTATAATAGCATTTATATAACATGTGTCGGGTACCAGTCAATGGCTTGTGCCCTTGAATTGTATTTAACTTATTATATGGTCTTCCCAACAGCTTTATGAAATAGGTACTATTATTATCCTCATTTTGCTGCTGAGGAAGCCAGAACTGGTGGTGCTAAATAGTTTCCTGAGGGTCACAGGGCTGATAGGTGTTGGGCATGGCCTCAGGGAGTCTGAGCTATTTGCTATTTTGAGATTTCTACCCCCACCCTTCCACTATAAATGATAAATATTCAATACTTACATTTTACCTAGGGAATAAGTATCCCTTTTGAAATTTCACAACATTTTGTTTTCATTTTAAGAGATCTTGATCAAAAACTAAAACAATCATAGGAATGTTCTCACAAAGTTATATTAATAATAAATCTCAGATTTCTCATCTTTCTAGCCATGAATCACATTTTTAGTAGCAACTCACTGTGGTAGTGGAAATATGTAGTTCATGTAAACACAAGTTAATACAATTCGCACGATTCATGGGTAAGTGGAAACACATTTTTCAAAATCCACAGAGGAGTCAGGGTGTCATTACAGGATAAAGAATGTTGGGGGATTTTTATTTTTTAGACAACAATATACAATGGCCTGTAGATATTTTTAAATCAAAATGTACCTTTCTTTTAAAATTTTAAAGTATTTTTCTAAAAGTATTATTTTTTTTCTTATCTTAATATGTGAAGCAAATCAACACAGTAGCTGAAATCTCAGCATGCAAGCAAACTTATCCATCTTCTCTTGACATGACTCGTGTCCACCTCTGCTTTTCTTCATCCAACATGCACTGAGCACACACATACACACTCGGGCCAGATACTGGGAGACACACAGAGAAAAAGACACAGCCTTCTTCTGTGGAGGTGCTCAGAGGGTCAACTAAGTACAATCAATGGAAAGATGGATAGCTGATGACAGAAACAGGTGAGGGAAATGGGAGGGGGAGGAGGAGATCCAGTGAGCAAGTCTTTCAGGGCAAGGTCATGAGGGTGGAGATTGGACTATGTTGTAACCGATACTTCTTCCCGGAATGCAGTGAGAGGCTACCAGATAAATATACTGCATTGATTAGATCATATACAATGCCCTGGAGTTAAAGAGTTTTCATCATCAGAATGGGGAAACATGAGCCCATCGACGTCTTTAGAACTTTTCCTGGTTTGGCATAGAAGCTGAATTGAAGAAATTTAAGGACAGATAAATTCAGGAGCCTAAGTGCTGTTGCTGTCATAAGAGGCAAGGTTCAATTGAAGCAATCAGAAATCAGTAGTGGGAAAGTGGAGATGGATAAGGAAGGTTAACAAGTCGATTTTGAAGTCCTAGGTCTTCTTAGGTACAAAAAAAATAAAAAATAAATTAAGAAAAGAAAGAAAGAAAGAAAAGTCCTTGTTTCCCATCTCTCGTGTATGATTTATGAACAATCTAGAAACCATTTGTTAAGATGAATATTTATTGTGCTATTATTCTGTTCTAGGCCCTGCGGTAATGCTTCACATGCATTGCTTAATTCTTACTTAACAAATAAGGAATCTGAGGCAGGCTAGAAGGAGCAACACCCACAAGGTCACCTTAAATCTCACCCATAAACCCTCAAACTCCTGTTTTTCTCCTTAACACAGTCTTCAGTCTAAATCAACACCGTCCTTTTCTTTTGTTATTATTTTTTTAATTCATTTTACATATCAACCACAGATCCCCTCTTATCCCTCTTCCCTCTCTCCCCCACTCCCAGCCTCCTCCAACAGGGTAAGTTCTCCCATAGAGGGACAGCTAAATAAGTCCGGTACATTCAGTTGAGGCAGGACCAAGGCCCTCCTTGCTTTATCAGGAGTGAGCAAGGTGTCCCACCATAGGTAAGGGGATCCAGAAAGCCGGCTCATGCACCAGGGATCAATCACATTGCCAGGGCCCCCTCAAATAGACCCATCTACACAACTGTCTCTCCCATGCTGAGGGTCTAGTCCAGTCCCATGCGGTTCCACAGCTGTCGGTCTAAAGTTCGTGACTTCCTTTGAGTTCAGTTGTCTCTGTAGATTTCCCCATCACGATCTTGACCCCCCACCCCCACCCCTGCCTTGCTCATAAAATCCTTCTTCCTTCTTTTTGACTGGACTCTCGGAGCTCGCATGGCTGTGGATCTCTGCATCTACTTCCATCAGTTACTGGATGAAGGCTCTATAATGACAGGGTCACCAATCTGACTACTGGGGTGAGCCAGTTCAGGCACCCTCACCACTGTTGCTAGTAGTCTAAGCTAAGGTTGTCCTTGAGGATTCCTGGGAATTTCCCTAGCACCAGGTTTCTCCCTTACCCCATAATGTCTCCCTCTATCAAGATATCTCTTTCATTGCTCTCCCACTCCATCCTTCCCCCAGCTTGACCATCCCATTCCTCATGTTCTCATCCCCTACCCTCTATTGCCCCCCCATCCACAGTTTACTCACGGGGATCTCCTCTGTTCCCCCTTCCCAAGGTGATCTGTACATCCCTCTTAGGGTCCTCCTTGTTTCCTAGCTTCTCTGGAGCTGTGGGTTGTAGTCTAGTTATCCTTTGTTTTATAACTAGTATCCACTTATAAGTTAATACATACATGTTTGTATGTACATGTTTGTCTTTGTGAGTCTGGGTTACCTCACTGAGGACTCTGAGATACCATCTTACAGCTATCAAAATGACTAAGATCAAAACACTGATGACAGCTTATGTTGGAAAGGATCTGGAACAAGGGGAACACTCCTCCACTGTTGGTGGGAGTGCAAACTTGTACAGTCACTTTAGAAATCAGTATGACTGTTTCTCAGAAAATTAAAAATCAATCTACCTCAAGACTGAATGATACCACTCTTGGGCATATACCCAAGGGATGCTCGAGCATACCACAAGGACACATGCTCAACTATGTTCATAGCAGCATTATTCATAACAGCCAGAATCTAGAAGTAACCTAGCTGTCCCTCAACCAAAGAATGGATAAAGAAATTGTGGTACATATACACAATGGAGTACTACTTCACTGTAAAAAACAATGACATCATGAAATTTGCAGGCAAATGGATGGAACTAGAAAATATCACCTCGTTTTTTTAAAAGAAAAACTTAATCACCTTCTAATTTCCCCAGTTACCACCCAGCCCATGTTGTGTAATGATGGTCATGGCTCTAACACAATCTCTCCTCTACTCAGCTCCTTTCTCCTAAAATTTCAGCACTAAGTGCTGTGCCTTTTAAATATACTCATACTAGCCATTATTGCCCAAGCAAACTAAAAAATCTTTTGCCAAACTCCTACCCCTACCCCCCCCCACCCCACCCCATCCCACCCCGAACCCCCCCCCCATGTTCCTCAAAGCACTGGGCATTAGTAAACACTTCTTTCTTCTTGGAAACTTTCTCCTTGTTGAGCACAGCAAAGAGATGTCTTCAGACATCGTCACACATATTTCAGTAGTTTTTCTTTTTCCAGCTCTGGCCAGGTCTTTCCTAGGGAAGGACCTGTTTCTTTTCTTTTCCTCTGTGCCGTGCATGCCATCAGGGCTGGCTTTCTGTTATTTGTCTTTATTATTATTTCTTGTCTCTGCTTTTCTCCTTCAACATGAGCCCTCATATGTAGCCACTGGTGAGCTTCCTACACTTCAGTGCCTGGTCTCATACCCACGCACAGATGGGCACGACGAACTGAACTTAGTGGGTTACTTGAAAAGTAAGAGGAGGGCTTGGTGGGGCATAAGGACCTTGGTGGGAGCAAATTGGGGGTTAAGGTGGTCATATGTCCTTGTATACGTGCATGAAATTCTGAATAAAGTACAAAATTTAAAATACTGTCTCTCCACTTCCTCTTCTCAGTACAATGCTGAAATATAAATATCTTCCTACCCTCTTTTCTCAACATTTTTTTTCAAGATCGAGTTTCAAGCAACTTTGAAACCAGTTGGCTCAACACCAACTCGAATTTATGCAGCCTTCCCAAACACTTCCCTGAGGAACCAGGCACATTCCCTAAGATTTCCTTCTATAAGCAGGCAAAGTACACAAAGAATTCATTCTGCTGTTAATCTCGGGCTGCCCGGAGTGCTCCGATTTCTTTGTTTATGAAAATAGATGCCAATGAATTGAACTGACAGAATGTACTTTGAAGCCTGCCGCTGTGAACGTGAGAAAGGGCGCAGCTTAGTCAGTGGACCTGCGCCCTGGCACACAGCGCTCCAGTTCTTGCAGGGCTTGGGGGCGGGGGGGGGGGGGCTCTAACCCAAGTCTAGAAACTGAGCCTTGCCGGCCAGGACCTTCCAATGAGTAAGCTTCCACCAAAGTCACAATACATCAGGCTACCAGCGATGCTGACAGTCTAAGTGAAGGCATGACTACGGACCTTCCAAGACGACACACAATTGACACAGATCTGAAACAGGATCGCTGAGGGAGTTCTTAAAGCTCTGGCGCTGAAATATGATTCAATTTAAGGTCAGAGCAAAATTAAACTCTCATGCCCGATATTTGTACAAAACACCAGTAAATAAAGTCATCATCGCTCACTCCTACTTTACAGCAATATTCGTTTATGAGATGAGAAATGATGCAAAAGCTTTAACACACACACACACACACACACACACACACACACA